TTTTTTTACTAAAATCTGATTACTTTATTTTGGTCAAATTACCCCTAAACCTCAGCAAGTGAGAATTGCACCACAACAGTTACAAATAAGGTAGACATAACTCCAATATAGCATATTAGTCTAGGCAAGTTGTGTGCAAAGAACAAAAGACTGATAATTTAAACTAGTAGTAAGCTTCTGGTAATAATGACAAACTCTTGAATAACAGCTTGCCACAGTAAATGTCACAGCCATCCATTCTGTCTAACGTACCAATTATTGGGCCACTACACATTACCTTAAACAGAAGAGAACGTAGCAGTTAATTCCTACCATCAATCTCAAGAAATAAGAATTTCAAGATCAAGACACATACAGCAAAGTGAAATATAACTCAACTGACTCGAAATTCATAGCGTACTTCGACTCAAAATTCATTTCGCAAGGCAAAAGCATTCTACTGAAATAAACAGAACAGAATACAGCTGACCCCACTCGTTTCGAATAACACATGAACATGAAGAAAACCGCACCAGTTTTACTCATGAGAAAAAGCCCACGCATTTTTTTGAGGTAAATAGACTAGTTAGACAGTTAGATAAATAAACAATTAACTGACAATAGTGAGGGATTTGGGGGCCATGCGATAAATAAGTTTTACCGAAATTTTTCCTCTAGTTAGCGCATGAAGCTCGCAAAGGCAATAATAAAAATAATCACTAGAATACAGCAAAAAACTAAGCCAAAACCGGAGTTGATTGAGGCAAGACAACAACCGTTGTTAAGACTGATGCCTACCTACCATGTACAACAGACTTGGAGAGCAAATAGGCCAAAGATTGTTGTGAGTCATGACTTGAAAAATCCACTAAAACCTCCCGGAAAATAATTCGCTGACGGTTGTAGTAAGAGCAACCCAATCCTGAAGCTGAAACATGTTTCTAAGCCTAGTGTCCTATGTGACAGCAAGTTGAATTGCTGTACAGTGGCCCTGGGTTTATTCACTTCAAGTTAGTATCACTTGATGAACTGTCTGGCCTGGTTCCTAGATCGACTTTGAAGTCTTGCATGCTAGATCCAATAACCGCGTCAGTCCTCAAAAACTGCTCTGATCTGCTTCTTCCGTTCATTACGAAGGTTAAGAACTATTCTTTGCAGAACTCCATGCTGACTTCAGACA